AGAATGTTATATACATTGTCAGATGTAGTCCCTATATTGGGTATTTTTCTTTTTCCTTTTTTTTTTTTTAAAGGAAAGTTTCATTGGGGAAGGAGAGTTATTTCCTGAAATGACCATCTGTAAGAATGAGATATCAATAACTCACTTTTTAAAAAAAGTCCTGTATTTTCATGGCATGAGGTTCATATGAAAGGGATATTAAGGGATGGCATAGAAGGGACCTGAAAGTGACAGTGGTGAAGAAAGGAGTATGCCAACTGCAGGAAGTAGCAAAATAAGCATCTGAGGAGTCCTCAGGGAAAAGCCAGGTTTCATTGTGAGGTGTCAGTCAACAGGCATTAATTAAGCTCATACTATGTGTTAAGATGCTGGAGATATAAAGAAAGGTTCTATAGTCTCTGCTGTCGAGAAGCTTACATTCTAATGGAGGTGCAACATTCAAATTACACATATACACATGCATTCATAGGGTAAATGGAAGGTAATCTCAGAGAGAAGGCATTAGCAGTGGTAGAAACCATGCTTAATGGCATAAAGGAAGACAGAAATGGAAGAGGTAGTAAAGTTAGCAGAGAAGGAGAGGTCACCGAGGTAGGAGGAAAGCTGGATCTAATTTCTTAGAAGCTGAGAGACTGGTGTTATTAAGAAAGTGGGCCAGTGTCGGATGCTGATATGACAAGCACTGTGATGTGAAGTGAATAGATAAGCACTGCATCCAGTGCTGAGAATACAATACAGAAGCAAAGACATTGCCCACTGGCAACTTGTCCCTTGATGGAATTTTTGAAGTCAGGAAGAGTAATTTAACTGTTGGGGACATTGTACAGGATTCCCCTTCAAGAATAGGTTGGACTTGATAGTATCTTAAATCCTTGTAGTTCTATGATCACAACAAAGGGCCAGGGGGCCCTTTCTGTGGGGTGGAACTGTCACTGCTAGTAAATAGATGAATACTTCAAAGATGGAAAGGAGGGAGGGCATGATGAGGACACTACTTCTGGTGAAGGGATCTAGATCTGTGGCTTGCTCTACCTATTCCCCTACTGTGATATCTGGCGCTGATTCTATAATTTGATTTTACAGTTTGGCTTGTAATGCACCTGGGCCTAGATATTAACTACCACATTTTAATAGGCTTCTACTGTATTTTGCTTTTTTGCAATGGAGATATTGGGCTCAAATGGAGAAAACACTAAAGGGGGGGAATGAATACACACTGTTGTTTTGTTTTTTGGTGAGGCAATTGGGGTTGAGTGACTTGCCCGGGGTCACATAGCTAGTGTCTGAGGCTGAATTTGAACTTGGGTCCTCCTGACCAAAGGGCCAGTACTCTATCCACTGCGCCACCTAGCTGCCCCACACACTGATTGTTTCTGTAGGAGGTAAACAGAATGAGGATGTCTAGAAAAGTTTATGGTAGAGTCAAGGTCCCTGGTAACCAAATCTGAAGGAACAAAGCACATAAGCTTCAGACAGTTTGTCTTAGGACCTTAGCAGTGGGAGAGGGTGTGTAGCTGGAGTGACTTAAATTCTAATATGGAGGGCAGAACTTAGGTGACTTCATAAGGAATTGAGAGTGCCCCAACTGAAGAGCCTATCCCTCCACAGCTCAGCTCTTGTGAGTTCACCTAGGAAATCAAATGGTAAATAAGTGCATGGAGGATTAAGCTGTGGAACACTGTCACACTGCCATTCTGAACAGAGCTGATTTAGCCTACAAAGTTCTCTGTAAACCATCTCTGGTGGTTTGGTGCTTTTCCCCCACTCCCATACCTGTCCCCAGCTTCATTGCCCACTATTTAGAAACCATCAGTCATCCTGGACCTTTTTCTCTTATATTTATTCCACCTTCTCTACTAAATTCTGTAGTCTTACTCGTCATTCAACTGAAATTGCTCTCTCCAAAGTTACCAGTGATTTCTTAATTGACAAATCTAATGGCCTTTACTCAGTACTAACTCTTCTGAACCTCTCAGCAGCCTTCGAAACTCTCATTCATCCTCTTCTCCTGGATACTCTCTCCTTTCTAGGTTTTCATGACACTGCTCTCTCCTGTTTCCCCACCTACTAGTCTGATTACTCGCTTAACCATGGGTGTCCCCAAAGTATCTGTCCTTAACCCTCTTCTCTTCTCCCCCTATAATATCTGGCTTGGCAATTTCATGAATTCCCACAGATTAAATTATCATTTTAAAGCAGTTGATTCTCATATCTATTCATCACTAACCTCACTTCTGATCTCTAGTCTTCTAGTGGTTGTCTACTTGATATCTCATTCTGGATGTCCCATGGATATCTCGTATCTGAAAGAAAATTTGTTATCTTTCCCTCAAAATATCCCCCTTTCCAGTTTCACTGTTATTGTTGAGGCCATCACCATCGTCCCAATCACTCATGCTCCCAACCTAAGTGTCCTCCTCCACTCTTCACTACCATCACTCCACATGTCCAGTCTGTTGCCAAGTATTGTCATTTCTGCCTACACATCTGTCTATGCCCGTTTTTTAAAATCGACTCGGCCACCACCCTTGTAGGCCTTCATCATCTCACTCCTAGACCACTATAAGGTTGTTCTCCCTGTTTTATCTCTCTCTACTCCAATTGATCCTCCATTTAGATGCCAAAAGTGATCTTCCTAAAGCACAGGTACGACCATATCATTGCCTCCCTCTCACCCCCAATAAACTCCAGTGGCTCCCTATTGTCTCCAGTGTCCAATATGAAATCCATTATTTAGCTTTTAGAATCCTTCACAATCTGATCCATTCCTACCATTCCATTCTCTTTTTGTCTTTGTTGTTCCCTTCTCTGTACTCAGTGATCTAGCTATAGTGGCATTCTTGATGTTCTTCAAGACTTAGCTCATATCTCACTTTTTGCAAGACTCTCTATTCAAGGCCATTAATAGTAGGAAGGCAAACACTGGATAGTGACTCCATTTTTCACTACTAATTTACTCCTTAAACCTTTAAAATCTGACATTCCCATTACCATACTGAAGCCCCTCTCTCGCAGGTAATGCCCTCCTTAGTGTTAAATGCAGTGCTCCTTTTTTCCCCACTAAATCTCCTTTACCTCTTTCTGTAGCATTTGACACTATGGCTCACTTCCACTTTGTTGATAACACAGTGTCTCTTAGCTTCCATGAAACTAGATTCAGTTTTTCTCCTACCTCTTTGACTTCTCCTTCTCCATCTTATTGCCTCTTTATCGTTTTGTCTTCATTTATGCCTTTAAACATGCTTATACCTCAGAATTCCATTCTTGCATTCCTTCTTTTTGCGCTTTTTGTTTTTGTGATACTATCCATTCTCATGGCTTCATTTTTCACTTCTCTGCAGCTAACATCCGTGTCTATAGTTCCAGACCAGTCTCTTTCCAGAAGCTCTCATTCTGTTTTTCAATTGCCAGCTGGATATTTTCACCTAAGGGACACATCAAACTGAACATGTCAGAAATTTAACTCATCATTCTACCTTCTTCTGACCTTCTTCTCCCTGATTCACCTCCCTACCAAAAAACAAAATAAACCTCACGCACAAAGTTTCATTATCTCTGCTGATGGCACTACCATCCATCTCCCAGTCACCAAAGCTTGTAATGTCAGAGTTATCTTTGACTCTTTTCTCCCCCTCACCCCACATATCATCAGTAACCTGCTTGTTCTGGCTGAGTGATTTCTCTTCAACTAGTCAGCCAGCAGGCATTTGTCGAGTGCCTCTGTGTTTAGGTGGTGGAGATAATCCCTACTCTGAAGGAGCTGTCCCTTATATCTCTTGCATCCTTCATTCTCAGTGTTAACAGTTCTTAATTAAGGCCATCATCCTTTCTAATAGGATCATAGGATCTAGAACTGGAAGGGATCTTCGATCATTCTGTCCAATCCCCTGATTTCATAATCAAGAAAACTGAAGCCTAGAGAAGTAAAAATGACGTACCTCCAGCAGGTAATAACTGGCAACTTTGTAATTCAGACATAGGTACTCAGACTCCAAATTGAGCCCTCTTTGCACTATACTGTGCTTCTCATTAAGATAATTATAGACTACCAAACTGGTCTTCCTGCTTCCAGGTATATCTCCATTTGAACCCATTCTTCACACCATTTCCCAAAGCATCTTCCTTTAGTACACTACTCTCATTGTGTTTTGTCTTACTTGTAAATTTTTAGTGGCTCCCTATTACCTGTCAGATAAAGTGCAAACTCATAGTCCTGGTATTTATTCCCTTATGTTCTGGGTTCCAGTCTGCCTCCACATCTTCATCTGATACTACAACTGTTCACATAGTCTACATTTCAGCTAAACTGAACTACTCTCTGGGAAGCAGAGTAGTGTAGCGGAATGAACACTAGTTCTAGAGCAGTCACAGGACTTGGCTTCAGATGTCACCTCTGATACTTGTGTGACCATGGGCAAGCCTTCTTAGGCCTCACTTTCCCTCATCTGTGAAATGAGAAGATTGGAGTAGATAACGTCTGAGGTTCCTTCTAGTTTTCTAAATCAGCAATCCTGTGTTCTGTTGTGCTGCCATCTAGTAGTCTTGCTACTTTTCATTGCCTTTACTTAAGCTCTCTTCATGTCTCCTCTACTTCTTCCCTCTAACTTTCTCCTTCCATCTGTTGAAGCTTCACCTTTCAAAGTACCACCTCCTCTAGGAAGTCTTCACTGACTTCCTGCCCTCTAGTGAAGTCAGTCTCTCTCTCTCTGTCTCATCATATTTTCATAGCAATTTGTTTGGCTCTCTTTTGCATTTGTTTCACTTACCATGTGTGGTGGTTATCTGATCATGTGTCTTGTCCCTCCTTAGATTGTAAGATCTTTGAGAGCAGGGTATTTGTCATGTCTCTTGGTTTCCACTTTTTGTATCTGCAGTGCCTAGCATAATGCCTTGTACGTAGATTCTTAATAAATGTGACCTTTGAATTGAATTGAATCTTAACATTTATAAATGAAAATTATAAAGTTATATACTCTGAACTATTTTATTCCTTTTTATAGAAGAGTTTGGAAAGTACTGTGATGATATTGTAAACACAGCTGCATGGGGAGGTCAGCTTGAGGTAAGTATGATTATTCACAGTGGTTGTATATAGTGGATCTGTTAAATGATTTTAAAATCCAATCATTTATTTTTAGGCATGCTGTTCAAACTGTCCCAATTCCACTTTAAAGATTCACTTTTCATCAAATAAGTTATATTCCTTACTGTACCATCCTAATAGGGAAAGGCTGATGTTTTTATGCCTTTGATTAAAGTATGTACCTTGGGGGAAGATTAAATAAAGTTTCATTATAAATAATATACTGGAAGATTTCTCTGCTGGCATTGTATCTGCTTAAGTTTTTCCAGTTGTCCAGTTCTGACAATATATTTGGTATCCTTGAGTGACAGAAGTGCAGAGTTCATTTAATTTTAGGAATATCTACCCTGTTGGCCCAGCCGAGTGTAGTAACTATTGGGAAAAGTCACACCACCATTACAAATAAGTAGTAGAAGCAGCTTTTTTAGGGAAATTACAAATCAAATTCCACTTAACCAAAAATTGTGTCAGGAAAGGATTTCAAAACCCCATCTGTGATACCTCACTTATATATTTGACATAACATAATTGAAATAAAATAAGAGAATTTGGTCGGTCTCTTGGGATAAGTTGTAACAGGATTTTACCTATAGTTGTTTATTTTAATGCTGTCTTCCAGCCTCACGTAAAAGCATAGTTGACCAAATGATTGATAATCTTAAATGCTCTTTTAACATGCATATTTATCTTTAATATTTCTTTCTGTTTTCATTGAAAAAAACATGTTTGAAGATGTGAACTTAGTGGTTATTTAGTTCTTGTGAGCCACCAGAGGGAGCTGAATTCATTAGTTTAGTAGATGACTTCTTTGCTGTTTATAGACTATTAATATTACTGGAAGTTTAATTCTAAACCCTCCGGGGGTTTTTTAAAACAGTGAATGCTGCAAGACAACATTAGGATTAATTGAAATGCTTGAAGTTGTCCTTCAGGATTTATTTGAAAATTAGACATTTGCAGGATAATAGGATTTATAGCTCCAAAGGACTTTAGAGGTAATCTTGTCCAGCCTCTTTCTTTTATACTTGACCTCTCTAGGCTTCCATTTCCTTAAGTTACTTGTCTAAGGTCACATAGTTAATAGGCGGCAGACTTGACATTTGAACCCAGGCGTTCTGACTCCAAATTTAGTCCTCTTTCCATTGCAATTAAGGGGATTCCTCATTAGAGATGGAATTCAAAGGACACAGTAAGGACATTTCAGCATAAGTTTAAGCAACTTCTTTAGTGATCAGCCTGTTGGCAGAAGTTTTTAGTTATAATAAAGGTCATTTTACTTCTCTAACCTTAGTTTCCTAATTTGTAAAAATTATTGTAAAATTGTAAAAATTGTAAAAATAATTATACTTGAGATTTGAAGATCAAATGAGATAATTTATGAGTAAATGTCACCTAGATAATAAACTCCAGTAGGGGAGGGGGAGAGGGAAGGGAGAGGACAGGCAAGGTATCACAGTGGACAAAGTGCCAGGCCTGAAGTCAGAAAAGACTCATGAGTTCAGATCTGGCCTCAGACACTTTCTAGCTGTGTGACCCTGGGAAAGTCACTTAACCCTGTTTACCTCAATTACTCATCTGTAAAATGAGCTGGAGAAGGAGATGGCAAACCACTCCAGTATCTTTGCCAAGAGGTCACAAAGAGTCATATACTACTGAAAAACAACTAAACAACAACAAAACTCCAGTAACTCCCTGTTAACTTTAGGATCAAATATAAACTCTTTAGCACTGAAAACTCTTCACAACATAATCCTTTCTTATTTTTCCAGTCTTTTAACACATATTCCCTTCCATGAACTCTGTGGTCCAGCACATTGGCCAGCTTACCTTTTCACCTGCTGCTCCCCATACCTGGAATACTCTCCCTCTTAACCTCTGCTTTGGAGAACCTCCCATCTTTGTTTATTACTCAGCTCAAGTACCACCTACAGGAAGGCTTTCCCCATCCCCTTGACTTCTAAGTGCTTTCCCTTCTAAGGCTACCACTTGGCTATTATCTTGTTTGTAGCAGTATATCTTTATTTGTCTCTTCTGTTAGAATGTAAACTCTGTGAGGGCATACACAGTTTTTGTGGGGTGTTTTGGGTTTTTTTTTTGTATCCACAGTATTAGTCAGTAAACCTTTAATAAATGCCTTCTATGTGTCAGGTATTGTGTATGCTAAGCACTGGGGATACAAGGAAAGGCAAGAACAATACCTGGTTTCAAGGAGCTTACAGTCTAATGGGGGAAAGAACATGCAAACAACTAAGTATAAGATATAAACAGGTTGAATTAGAGACAATCTCAGAGGAGAGAGACTGATTTTAAAGAGAAGTGGGAATGGCTTCTTGCAGAAGGTAGTAATTTAGCTGAGACTTAAGGAAGGTAGGAGATGAAGGTATGAGGAGGGAGAGAGTTCCAGACATGGAGCACAGATAGTAAAACTGCATGGTGTCTAGAGATGGAATATCTTGTACAAGGAATAGCAAGGAAGCCAATGTCACTGGACTATAAAGTCCATGGAAGGATATAATTTGTGAGAACACTAGAAAGGTAAAGCAGTAGCCAGATTATGAAGAGCTTTAAGAGCCATTTTATATTTGATCTTGAAAGTGATGGAAAACACTGGCATTTATTGAATGGGGGGGTAACATAGTCAGATCTGAACGTTAAGATCAGTTTGTAGATGAGTAGTAGATGGACAGGAGTTGGTGCAGGAAATGTAAGAAGCACTTAAAACATAATAACTAGCTTTTATACAGCACTTTAAGGTTTGCAAAGGGCTTTATATATATTATCTCGTTTGATCATCACAACAACCCTGGGAGGGAGATGCTATTATTATCCCCATTTTGCAAATGAGGAAATTGAGGCTAAGAAAAATTAAGGGACTTGGCCAGAATTACACAGTTGTAAGCTCTTGAAATAGTATTCGAACTTAGGTCTTTCTCCCAAGTCCAGCTAGCACTCTAGCTGCCTCTAATAATACATGCTTGTTAATTGATTAATTGGAATTTTTTTATCATTTTTACATGATAACCCAGAAGGCTTAATTGTGTAATTTTGATTTTAAAAAATTTATAAAAGCAGAATTCAGCTTATTGAAATTTCAGTGTTGCTAAAACTTTCCTAATGGGCTCATGCCATCTTAGCAATGTTGAAAAGGTTTATTTTTCCCCTTGCCTTTTAAAAAAAAGTCAATATATAGGCCCTGTAAAGTGATATCATTGGGAGGCCCAGAAATGCTTTTGTTACTGGGATTACCAAACCTCTATCCATGAGGTTGATTGTAATTCTTCTGGTACCAAACAATAGCTTCAGCCTTGGACTGCTCTGGTTCTTTCAGGAAACTCCTGGTTGAGGCTGGACCAGAGTCCTCCTTCCTTTAAAGAGAGACATCATTAGGGCTTTTAAAAATCAGGAAAAGTAAAATAAAACTAAGTGAGGTATGAAAGCAAAGGTTTTAAATGTAAGGATCTCCTTCAGTTTAATCCTTGCTAACTTTGCTTAACTTCAGCAAAGGAAAATCTAATCTTTCCTATAGTCCAGATTAAGTAATCTGAAGCATAAATCCTAGCCAATGTTGACAAGATGCAGGTTCTTAACCTGGGGTCTGTGACCTTCTTAAAAAATATGTATTTTGAGGGCAGCTAGGTGGTACAGTGGATAGAGCACTGGCCTTGCAGTCAGGAGGACCTGAGTTCAGATTTGGCCTATGTGACCCTCAGCAAGTCACTTAACCCTAATTGCCTCACCAACAAATATATGTAGGTATTGATAACTATTTCAATATAATTAGCTTCTTTTGTAATCCTCTGTATTGTATACATTTGAAAACATTTTGAGAATGAAAGTCACCTGACTTCCAGAGGGCTCTGGAACACAAAAAAGGTTAAGAATCCCTGCTGTTGTTTTGGCTTCTTTGCCTCTAGCTACTAGCACTGAGCAGCCTAACCCAGGCCTGGCCCATGTTGGTCTTAAATCTGGACCATTTAAAGCCCTAGAGGCTTCCTTTCACTTGGGGTTTTCTCTCTTTAAAAGTTGGAGATTTCGTGCTCTAACCCTTACTAAATTCCATTTGAGTTGGCTTTCACACGTGGTACTTTACTGGAATACTCTTTTGCAGTTTTATAGTACAAGCAGAGACTGATTGACCATGTGTTGGGTTTGTTACAGAGGGACTTATTTTTGTATGAACTGGACTAGATGTCTGTCAAGGTTTCTTCAAACTCTTAAAGTCTCATTCTTTAATATTCTAATACTTTAAACACATGATCTTAACAAAAACAATTTTCACCTGTAATAACAAACTAATGATTTTATCACAAGCTTCCTATGTCACTCCCCATCCTCACCCCTTCACCCCCACCAAAAAAAAAAAGAAAGAAAAAGGACTTCTTCAGAGGAATAACCTACAAAGGAAAAGCCAGCATAGGCTTAAATATGGTCCAGTGAGGAATGTAATTTTTTCCTTTCTATTAAATGCACCAAGCTTGCAAATGGGCCATGCCTCAGACTAGATATTCAATTGATTAACCTATTTTAGTGGGAAAGGAGTTTCAATATGTGGATCCAGGAAACTAGAAATATATCTCTTCCACATCCTGAAGGCTATTCACAACTCTTCATAGTCTTTATCAGACTTGAAGCCCTGGTTTGTTTTACTAAAGTTACTAAAATGGGTAAATCTCTTTATTACTAGATTCTTGACGGTAAATGTTTAAGCCTGGTGTATTTTAATGTTCCTAGAAATGCTTAGCAAGAATACCTTGCGTAGTTGGTTTTCAGTATTTGTTAAATCTTCATTTCTTCTCCATTTCTCCCTTAAAAACCTACTTTAATGATGTGTGGTAATGAGTAAGCTCAGAATTTCAGTTTTTCTTATCAATACACTTTTTCTTTATTAAAGCTAAGAGCTCTGTCTCACATTTTACAAACACCAATAGAAGTAATACAAGCAGATTCTCCTCCGATTGTAGTGGGTGAAGAATATTCAAACAAACCTTTAACACTTGTGTAAGTATCCAAATACTTTTACTCAGTTTAGCTTATGTTTAGTAATAGAAAGTGCTTAGAATGTAGATTGGTAAATATTTTATTGTTCGTTGATAGATTAAACACTGAGCAGCATTTTGTATGTTTGATTCAGGAATAGTGCCATTTCTAAAGAGCTCAAATACTTTAGGACTTAAGTTTTAAAGTGGTAGTGTATATGTTACCACATGAATTATTCAAAGTTCATTATTTTAGATGTACTTGTGTACGTATTTTAAAATGACATACTAATCTTTTGTTTGGTAAGTAACATGGAAAATTTGATAAGTTGTTTATTATTAGTATTAGGTTAGGAACAAGGTAAGTTACGTCCATCATGGAAGAAGGGAATTGTTTCTGTCTCAGATAAGGAGAACTCCAAATTTTTTTGGCATTCAATATTTCATTGTTTTGACTCTTTCTCACCCTTCCACCATATATATAGTATGTAAAATTACCAAACCAATGCACTGTATTAGTAAACTGTATCCTGCTTTTTATTTTATGTCAGGCATTTCTGGAGTTGGTTAATTCTTAAGCAATTTATTAACTAAATTATCTTATGCATTAAATGGTACTGTACTGAACAGTTACTTAGTTCTTGACTTCCACATTGGAAACCATTGGCACATCCATTCTTTTTTTTACTTAAACTAGTATTTAATAATAGCAATCTCTCTTTTTTCCCCCCAGATATATGAGACATGCATATGGCTTAGGAGAGCATTATAATTCTGTGAAACAACTGATGGACACAGCTACTGAAAATGGTAGCTAGTTTATGAAGTTTGTACAATTATATATTGGTTCTGTGCAGTATGACAATCTGGGCATTCATATGAAGGCCTGGACTATTCCAAAGGGAATTGAATCTTTTCTTTTTTTTAATTCTTTTTTCTTCCTCCTCTCTCCTTTTTCTTCTCCTTCCTCCTCTTTCTTCCTCTTTTTTTTTTTTTTTTTTGCAAAGCTACTAATGGATTTTGAACACACATCAGAAATAAACTCTAGTCTCCACTTAGTGGCATTTTAAAAAGTTGTTTTGGTTGCATCGTGTGAGAGCAGCATAGGCAGAGCAGGTTGAGGACAAAGCCTCCAAATATTGGTATTTATTGTATTCTAAAATAGATTTCCTCTAACGTGGTATAAATTTAAAATGGTCATATTTTTTAATTGTTAGTAAAAAGCTTTTAGTGTCTCAGTCTAACTCTTGAAAATGTGAATACTCAGCAATTGTGTGGCAGTGGTGATAGTGAATTCTAATACTCCTTTCAGATGAGTTTGAATGCTTATAGCCTGAGTATTATTGATAGAATGATCTGAATTTTCTCCACAATGTTATTTTTATAAAATTAAGGTACTACTAAGAGCATGCTTGAGTAATCAAGAATTTCATAGTGTTTATGCAGGTGTAAATCAAAGTCAAGGACACCTAACAGTTTATGCCTAAAGTGTGACACTTGTGATTTTTTTAAAAACGTCTGTAATTACTGAATTTTTTCCCCCCAAGTAAGCTTTTAGACATATGTATCTTAATTCATTAGATATTTATTGCTATTTTTAAAGGTTTAGACTCTGGAATTAATGTTATACATTTATGATTATCTTAAAAACTTATCCATGTGCTTTGTATTGCTTTACTCTTGAATGTTCAGCTGCTATCACAGCTAACTCCTAACCTTCCTCCATAACTCCTCAGTTTGGTTTGCCTTTTCTGCAAAAAATTTAGTTTCATTTCTCCACACATGGCTTGCGATCTCATCATTCTACCCAATTGATTCTTTAGGGAAATATTGACTGCTTCTGTTTTTCTTCTCCTGTACAAAATAAGGAAGAGACTAGGTCTCATGATCAAAATGTCTGAATTAACCATGCTCACATCTTCAATTCCACTTTGCCTTTTTTTAAGCTTCCTGCTTTTCTTAAAAGCCCTACTTACTTGATCCATTTTACTGTATTATGTTAGCTTTCCATTAATTGAGCATTAGAGGATTGGTTATAATTCAGTTATGGGTAAAATGTAAAGTTACCAGTTGGGAGCCCGTTGCCCTGTAATATGTAGTATGTTCAGTTATAAAAGATGGATCTCTCTTATCCCAAAGTGCAACATGCCATAAGAGGATCCATATTTAGATGGTGCTCCTAAATCCTTTATGTAAATGCATCATTTGCTCTACAAAAAGGCAAGTGCAAATAACTTTTGTTTTGTATATTTGTTTTTTGGAAGAGTGAATACCAATGCAATGTCAACCTCAAATTAATAATCTTTGTGTATATTTGCCCAATATGCAGAACTTTTTTGTAGATAACTGAAGTTTATATGATTTAAAATAAATGCTTTTTGAGTAAAAAATATACAAAAGAATGGAATTTTAAAGTATTAATGCTTTTGACCTGTTTTTTCTAAGTAATCTCTATAACTTTTAAGCAGTAATATTCATATGAATTTGATATCATGAAACATGACAGGCAAAGTAGGTTATCCAAATAGGTTTAAAAGGTTTAAAAGCAATTTTTCATTTGGTAGCTATCACATTTTTATCATGAGATGAATATTGTCTTGTTCATGGGATTTTAAAAAGCAGACATGAACAAGATTTCTATTGGGAGATGTTTTTTGTTTTTTTAATAGAATTTGTATTTTGATTCAACATTACTTACCATCATTTAAGTATTAACCTAAAAATCAAAGTTTAAATAATGACAGATGTTGATTAAGTGCAACATATGTGCTAATTTAGGTTTTTGTATGATATAAAATCTGGTCTAATTGGAGCTTCATAGGGTTTCCTTTGTCCTTAACTTGGAGCAGAAAGGGGTATGTCAGAGTTCTGGAATATGTCTTTGTCCAAGTATTTTATCCACTTTATTATGTTTACAACTTGTATAAAGTAAAAGAATGTGTTTAATTATTGCGAGCAATATAGTTTTGCTCATATTATGAGGCTTGCCAAAAGAATAATAAAAGATGAATGAATCAAATAAAACTTGTTTGTTGAAACTGTCATTTCCTTAACTTGGTTAGAATTGAGGAACATAGAAAAGATCATTTTGCTCTAGAAATTTACTCAGCCTTTGTTTTATCAAGACATAATTAAGAACAATAGAGATTACAAAGAATCGTGTTCTTTTAAAGGATTTAGGATTTGCAGAAATATGAGAACACAGCTTCTTGGCAGAATATATTAGGGGTAAATATTGAATAGTGAATGACCATTTAAACTAGATTTTCACGCACCAGGTGAGTTTTTTAAGATTTCTTAGATTGGTGAAGATTCATTTAGGGGACGTTAATTGGGACTCCTCATCTAATGGAAGGGAGAAAATAGGGATTCAGTCAGAACAATTTGGAGGCAAATGCTAATATGTACACCATTATTAATATATTTATCTTCTCAGTGCAGGTTAACATGAGCCAGCTGAAAGCGAATCTGAAGTGATCAGAAATAATTTACATTTTTACAGTGTATACAGTGTATATTGTATTGCCAGGTAAAACTGATTTTTATTACTGATTGCTCTCTGGTGTCCTGAGACTTATTTAAAGTAACCTGTGTTTCCATCCTAAAAAATTGCCTTTGAGAGGGCTGTTTTTTTTTTCTTTACACACATGTAAATATATACAAAGAAATCTTTTGAAACTTTAGAGAATGATGATGACTACTATTCAAGCATAGACTGACCCTTATAGTTTGCCCTTCTTTTAGAGTTCAAGGACCACTGGGTAGGAACCATGTTTTATCTAAACTTTGTGTCTACCTTTGTACCTAGCACAGGGCTCTGCATTTAGTAGGTGTGGCCATATCGTATTAGAAGGGTGAGGAAATCCATAAATCCCTCAGTCTTCCATAACCGTTGTCTGAGAACTTTGCTACAATAACCTTGACCAGGACCAAAGCTTTTGCCATGGAGCCAGTCAGCTGTTTTTTCTTATTTAGAAAGTCAACCATAACACTTAGCCCTTCTCAGCAATGCAAGGATCTAAGACATCTCCAAAAGACTCATGATGGAAAATGCTGTCCACATCCAGAGAAAAAAACTATGGAGTCTGAATGCAGATTGAAGTATACTATTTGCTCTTTTTTTTTCTTCTGTTTTGTTTCTTCTTTCTCATGGTTCCTCCTATTGGTTCTAATTCTTCTTTACCACATGACTAATGTGAAAATATGTTTAATAGGAATGTATATGTAGAGCCTATATCAGATTGCACGTTGTTTTGGAGAAGGGGGGGAGGGGAGGAAAATTTAAAACTCAAAAGCTTATGAAATGAATGTTGAATACTAAAAATAAATTAATTTTAAAAAGAAAGTCAACCACATTCAACTCTCTGTAACTATCAAATTTTCAGACTTCTTGCCACCAGGACCAGAGCCTCACACACTAGACTTGTTGCCACCTGAACCTCTTGAGCAGGGTCTCAAATACCAGGCCTAACCAGGCACCAGCCACACTTGCAGAATATTTTCTGACTTCATATTGTGGAATGTAGCAAAGAAATTGATGCTGAGTGTGCACCCAGTCAAGCCTCCAAGGACCCCAGTCACCAAGTATTTTCTTTTGCCCCTGTTACTGGTGTTTGAATAAGTTGCTGTTGCCCTCCTTTGTCTTAAGGCCCTCGTGCCTCAATCAGATAACGGTACTCGATCATATACCTTGTTGTGTGCTCTTCTCCCTCCAAATCCTATTCCTAGGAGAGACATGGTGATGTCAAGGAAGACATCACCATTCTTCACTTTCTCGTCCCCTTTTACCATAGTCAGTTCTACCCTTCCTGAGTCCTTTCTCTGTTCTATTTCTCCCCTTTCTTTATGTCCTTCAGAACCTTATCTTCTTGCTTTCATAGAAAACTGAGTCCTAATAGAAGACACTGCATCCCTGGCCAGTTTCCCTACTGGCTGTCCCCTCACACATTGGGTGAGGAGGAAGAAGTGGCATCTTCCTTATAGTCAATGTCCTACTTTCATGTGTTATAGTTTAGAAGTGACCCTGTATTCTCAATATCTATGCCAGAAGAGTGCAAGCTCTCATTGGTCCTCACAAGCTTGAAAGCCTTCAGATAGGATTCCATTAACAGATGATGTGTCATTCAAGCCCAGCCTGGCTAAGTTCAGAAAATCTAATTATCAAGAAGTTGGTTATCAGGTGATGGTTTGGGTTTTTTTTTTTCCCAGGGGGGAGGAGGGGGAAGATGCTACAACTTCTTAAAAAAAGAATTGGGTGTGTTGATCCAGTGAGGGAGTGCCTATACCAATGAAATCATAGATTCTTGCAGTATGACATTTTGGGAATTTTCTAAAAAGCAAGTTTTTATTAATGTCTTTTGTTTTTTTACATCACCATAGTTTTCCTCCAATATCCTTTCCCTGTACTTCCCAGAAAGCCATCCGATATACTTTGTTAACGTATGTTTGTAGTGATATGATTTTCCCCCTGAGAACAGCTTTAGTTGTATCTCAGAAATGTAGGCATATTGTTTCATAATTAAAATTTTCTTTTTACATAATTATTTATTGTTTCTATAATTTGTTTTTTAACCCACTCATTATTTTGGATTTTATTTTTAAGTCTATTTGGTTCTTTATCTTTTGATTGTGGTCCCTTAATTTTTTTAATTGCCTTATGGTCTGTAAAGAATGTATTTACTCTTTCTGACTTTTTAATTTTGTTTGTAATATCTCTGTATCCTAATGCATGGTCAATTTTTGTAAAAGTTCCATGTGGTGTTGAGGAAAAAAAAAACACGTGTATTTGTGTGCTTACGTGTGTGTATGTGCCTTATTTTTTTTCCTTTTGTTGATCTTTATGTTAGATTTAACCTAAATTGGAAAAGGGACATTGAAATCTCCTGTCACTATTGTATTATTGTCTGTATATTCTTATAGCTCAGTTAATGTTTCCTTTGTGAATTTGAATTCTATGACATTTGTAACATAGAAGTGTTTAATATTGATATTTTTTCTTGCCTATGTTCTTTTCAGCATAAAAGAGTTTACTTGTTTATGTTAATTATATTCTGAATGTTTTTGCATTGTCTGATAGCATGATTACAGCTTCTGGTTTTTTGTTTTTTTTTTTTTGGATTCACATGATGCATGCATAGTAATTTTTTTTTTCCATCCCTCAGTTTTATTTTGTGTATACCACTGTTTTTAAAATGTGTTTCTTGTAAGCAACAGACCATAGGGTTTTATTTTCTTATCCATTCTGTTACTCTTTTTCATTTTATTGAATTATTTAATTCATTCACATGTCAAGTTATGAGGGTTAGGTTTATATTTTCCTCCATTTGTCTCTAATAATGTTTTTTCCCCAAAATCAGGATTCTCCCTTCGCCCCTCTCCATTGTAAACATAGTACTATGTCTCCTAAGTTATTTTAGCTTACTCTGTTTCAATGCCAACCCCATTATTACTGGCTCTCTTCCCTGTCTTCTTACCTTCTCGCTTTCTGTTTGTTACCCCTTTCTCTACTTTTAGAGTTTTGCTTATTAATTTTTTTTTCTTTCTCTGTTTAGTTATTTAGTTCTTCCCCTCTTTTTTTCTCAATTAAGTAATCAAGTAGAATCCTTCTTCTTTCCTCCCCTTCAACTTACTTTGTTCATTAGTTATAAAATTACATTCTCTGCACTTTTTTCTAAAAATGATTTTCTTTCCTCATTTTCTTCATTATTTATCTTTCTTTTCTTTATTTTGTAGACTTTTTTGATTTATGGCTCATACTTATTTACTCTTTTTTCTCTGTATTGCTCATGAGATTAAGCCTTTTGAGGTACTTATATTGGATATGTATTTCTAACATTTCTGTTTTTGCCTTGTAGGTCTTGGCCTTAGCCCCCTTTTTTCTGTCATGCCTCACTCTTAGAAATCCCAATTTCTGCAGGTGAAAGAGATGATATTGCCTCACACTAGGAATTTTCTTTTGTCCGTGATTGTGCAGTTCATTATTCTCCTTTGTCCTCTACTTGGTAAATTTTTCCCCCATTTGCCTTGAAGTCTCTTCCCAGGATTAATGCCCTCCCACTCTTTTGGGTGTCATTTCCTCTCAAGAGCTCTAATTCCCTTTCTCCTGAGGCAGGATAAGTGGTTTCTCTAAGCACCCAATCCTTCAGACCATTGTAAAGTCTCCATTTCTGCTTCTAGACTACCTTCTTCCATAGGAGCATTCATCAGGTACCCCCTCCCACCACTGAAACAAGGTTTCCCCTTTTTCCCTCGCACCTTTTTCAATCCCTTCCTTTTCTTTGCCCATTCTCCTGAGGCTCTATTCTTTCTGAGAGACTAAAAGAGTTATTTTCCCTTCATTGTTAGCCTTTGGTTCACATATTCTTGTCTGTCTTTTCCCTCTCCCCTCCTTTTGTCTTCCCTCCCATTCTGTAATTTAGTCCCCCCCAAAAAAAACCCAGCAACAACACAACAACAAAAAACATCATTTGTCTATAGGTGAGATGTTGTGAGGGTCAGTTCTTGATGTTTTAGACCCATTTCTCCACCATCACTTCTTTTTAACTACTGATTTCACCTCTTTTTACCCCTTTCCCATTATGTACATTTAGAAAAGAATTTCTTAATGGTTTCTGTTATTATTTTGTTGTTATTGTTGTTGTGTTGTCCATGGTTATTGTATTCATTTACCCTTTTTGTATTTCTGTTATCTGGACTGTTTGAGAAGCAAATTATTTCTGAAGGTCTAGTTTTTTCCTAGGAATGCTTTGAACACCTTCTGGGGTTTCTATTGGGTGCAGAATTGTTTTGTGTTATTTAAACTTCCTTTCCTTTATATTTGAAGGTCTTTCTTCTAGATACTTGCAAAATTTGTTTCAATGGAATTGTTAAATTTAACCACCGTATCTTGGAGTTTGTAGCATAAGGGTTTTTTGTTTGTTTGTTTTATTTTTTCTGGAGGCAACCTGTAAATTCTTTTGATTTCTTGTATCATTTTTGCATAATGTTGTTAAAGTTTTTGGACTTGTGTTGTCCTGGGA